TAACAGTATATATATAATGGGAGTCCCAGGGGGAGAGAAGAAAAAGAAAGCATTAAAAAGAATATTTGAAGAAAACTTCCCAAATCTGATGAAAAATATTAACCTACAAATCCATGAAACTCCAGGAACTCCAAGTTCTCAAAGATATGTATACCAGACATATTATAATCACACTATTTAAACAACAAGGGAGAATCTTGAATGCAGCAAGAGAAGTGACTCATCACATACGAGGGGTCCTCAGTAAGATTAAGAGCTGACTTCTCTACAGAAACCATGGAGGCCAGAAGCAGTAACGGCATAGGCAAGGTGCTGAATGGAAAAAAACTGTCAACCAATTTTATAGTCAGCAAAACTACCCTTCAAAAAGGAAGAAAACATTGATAAACATTACTAGCAGTCCTGTCCTACAAAGACATGCAAAAGGGAGTCCTTTAGGCTGAAAGGACACTAGATAGTAACTCAAAGACAGACACACACAAAGACAGACAGAACTGATAATGGTAATTATAAAAGAGAGTAAATGTATCTTCTATTTATAACTTTTTCCCCCTCAATTTAAAAGTCAAATGCATAAAGCAATAATTGATGGGCACCTAACTTCTAATGATGTAATTTGTGATAATAACAGCATAAGGGAAGGAATGAAGTCGTGTAAAGCAAAGTTTTTATTATTGATATTTAACTAGGTAAAATAGATCAGCTCAATCTTTTCTAATAAAAATTCTATATGTTTTAAATTGTCTATTTCTTATTTTTTCATTTGTAATTTTGGTGTCATATCTAAGAAGACTATATAAACAAAGGTCACAATATTTACTTCCGTGAGTTTTATAGTTTTGCTTACATTTTGGTTCGTGATCCATTTTGAGTTAACTTTTGTGCATGTAGTGTGAGGAAGACTTTTTTCATTCTTTTTTTTCCATCTGTGCTTCAGATTTTGTAATCTCTCCCCAACTATCTTCAGGTTTGCTGATTCTTCTGCCAGCTCAAATGTACTGTTGACCCTCCTTAGCAAAAGTTCCACTTTGGTTATTGAAACTTTCAACTCCAAAATTTTCATTGTTCTTTTATTTCCCATCTTTTTATTTTCATTTGATGAGTCACTGTCAGCATACTTTAATTCTTTAAACTTGGTTTCCTTTAGGTCTTTTAACATATTTACAATTGCGGCCTAACACTTATCCTGTATCTAGTATCCCTCAAAGGAAGTTTCTATTGCCTGCTTCTGCCCGTGTCACACTTTCCTGTTTCTTTGAACATCTCATAATTTTGTGTTGAAAACAGAACATTTTAGGTAATATAGAATCTCTCCATGTTGGTTCTCCTGTCCACTCTGGGCTTATTTTTATTTAGTGACTTGGCTTGACTAATTCATGAAGTCTGCCTCTGTTACGGCTCAACTTGTTTCTCCCTCATTTTTAAGCCTGATTTCCTTCATCAGATTTGGGAAGTTTTCTTCAAATATTCTTTTTAATGTTTTCTTTTTCTTCTTTCCCCCTGAGACTCCCATTATGTATATGCTGTTATGCTTGTTGGGTCAGCAAGCGGTTGCTTCTGAGTCAGCATCATTTAATGACTAGCCACCAATTAATAAGAGGTTGTGTTTAAGCCCCCTGAATTAGGGAGATTAACACCCTTCACCACTGTGTGGGGCTTGGCCTTTTTGCACTATTTAGGGAGTTTCCAAGTTTTGCCCTACATTCTGTCAGAGACTTGTAACTCACATTCCCCCTCTGGTTGCTCCTAAGCAGCTATAGTCTTGAACCTACACACATTACTTCTGATTACAAGGGATGTCTGTAGTTTTACCCACTCTCTTGGTCTCTCTCCCTGATCTTGTCTTTACGCTTTCTGGCTGGTATCTATTGGTATCACCAGCAACTGTTAGCCTCTATTTATTGGTAGCTGATTGTCCTATAGTTTTCAACAATATTCAGGAGTACAAACTGCTCCAGTCTGTTCCAGGTAAAGTTAGGCCCCTAGTAATGGGAAGTGTGCTGTCAAGTCTTTGAAGCTCACTTAAACCTTCCCCTGAACAGAACCCCTTTGCCTTTGTGCTATGGAGCATGTTTTGGGTGGAGGGTGGGGGGGAGGTTGAGTATGGGAAACTGGCTCTTACTGAATGTCTCCCAGATCCTCCCTGCAGAGCAGCTGTGTCAGGGGTTAGAGGGCATGGGGGAGAATTTTCTATCACCTCCCAGTATGGATCTTCCATAGCCCAGAATCAGGGAGGATGGAACCTAATGTTCACCAGCGGCAGAATGTACACAGAATAGCTCTTCTGTCCCCAGAAAGCTGGGACAGATATAAGCTGCCATTTTGATGCCAAGCCCACCAGAGCAGGTCCCTTGCAACACGGTTGTGTGGGAAAGGGGACTTGCACTATTAAGAGGAGCTGTCCTGCCCTGATTCTCCTTATACTGCAGGATTTGGAGTCATACAATGGCTAATCAGCAGCCATCTCCCATTTGTTATAAGCCTTCTGTGGAACACCTGTGTGGAAAATGGGATCTACCAAACAGGGATATATTTAATCTTACACCCAAGCTGTGTATCTCCCAGTTAGGTTTTGTGGTGTTTCCTTTGGCATAACTTCACATAACTTTCAAATTTATTATTTTGTGGCTCTTACTATAAATGGGTCTTCTTTTATTGTTTGCCAAATGATTACTATTAAGTGTTCAGGAAAGCTAATTTTCAGGGTACTTCTTTGGATTTTCAAAATATTGAAATCAAGTCATTTGCAAATAGTATTTTGATCTCTACCCAAGTTTTTCATTTTGTTTTCCTATCTTTTTACATTAGCAGTAACTTATGAAGTAATTGATGATAGCAGGCACCTTAACGGAAAGAAGCAATTTCAGTCACAACCCCAAACATTAGCTTCACTTTTGGTTAAAGGACTCTGAAATATTAAGGAAGAATTCTTCTAACATATTAAAAATGACTTTACTAGGAATGAGTATTTTTTTAGTAAGTACATTCTTAACATTGACTAAAATCACGATTTTTGAAATTGATGTACTTAATATTAACATTCTTCCTACACTATTTACTCAAATATTTGCACTATCACAATAATGTATGTACTTTTCAAAGAAAGATTTTTAAATTTGGGGCACTTATTAACAGAAGCTCAGAAGACAGAACTAAAAAAATAATAATAATTCAAAGAAGACTTTGTCGAACACCTCTTCCAAGATATTGACTACTTCTCAATTATCCAATTAAGAGCATACTTAAATCAATGAACACCAAAATCAACCAAAGAGATCCTATTTCCACTCTGCATTATAGGAAAATTTTTCTGCTACTGCTACATTCTCAACTAGCAACAAATAATGTCCCGAAAATTCCTCCAGCAAGTTTCACTAGATAAGGTCCTCAATGGAGTCAAGGCACTTTGTTGAAAACAAGAATCCTAACAAATTGCTATGCAATGAAAAGGGGACATACCCCAAGTTAAATAAGATGTCAATAGTAGGGAGAAAAATCAATAAATCAGCATATGTATGGAATTAATATTGTTTTCACCTCACCTCCATTCTCCCCCATCCCAAGAACTCTTATTACTTTTCTTAACAGCTATTTCAAATCACTTAAAGAACTAGTATCTATTTCTCATCTAACCTGGACAGAAATTCCCACAGCACCTGTTTAACTTTTAATCCCTCCATAAGATGCATTATCCTTTGCACACAAATGACCCATCTACTTTACCCACTAATCCTTTTCATTACATTTACATTCTCTTCACTTTTAAACACATCTACACTGATAACTTACATGCTTATTTTAGTTTTTATACTTTGTTTTGTACAGTGTTATACATCATTAAAAAAAAAAACTGTATCAAACTTTTTAATTTAAAAAAAATCCGATTCTAAGAGGAGACCTTTGAGAGAACCAAACCAAGGGTTAGTAAACAATGTGGTGGGCCAAATTCAGCCCATGGCTCATTTCTTTAAATGAAGTTTTATTAAAACATACGCATACTCATTGATTTATGTACTGTCTAGGGCTGCTTCTACAATATGACAAAATTAAGACGTTATGACAGAGACTAAATGGCCTAGAAAGCCTAAGTTATTTACTAACTTAACTTACTCTTTACTGGTAAACTTTACTGACCCCTTAACAAAATCACAATTTTTCATTAAAAAATATATGTATTACATTTCAATCTACTGAGTGCTTAGTAAGATAGAAAGGTAAACTTTTTTAAAATTATTTTTTTTAATTGAAAGCCAAACAGAGAGGCCCATTTCCAATGGAGATGGACAAGTATGAAAAAATGAGAACACATTCCTGACCAAGAAGTTGGATTGCAAAAATAAAACTCTTCCAGTTGTAGTAACAACCTCAAACCACTGCATACTCATATTTTAGAGAACCATCTTTAATTCAGTTTCAGCCAGGAGAAAAAAAAAAGGATGGAGGATTTGGGTTCTGGATTTTTCACTATGGCAATAAAGAGGCTCCAAAGCAGGTTTGCCTTCTTTAGAATAACCTAACAAATCAGAAAAGGTACTAACCAGAGTACCTGGGGCATGAAGCTTTTTAAAATGGCTTTTAAAACTTTAAGGCAAAAGGTATGTATCACAACATTAAATATATTTTTACTGGTATGGCTATTCTGAAATGTATTTTTATAATGCTGCAAACGTTGCCAAGATTGCTGCTTCTCTCTCCTCTATTCATGGAAGGCAAGGAATTATAATAAATCTACCCATAAAAGCAGAGCATTTCAAGTTTATTGCTGTTAGGATACTAAAGAGCATTAGCCTATGACTTTCCTTATCAGCATAACTACAGTAACTTCATGATAAATGTTACCCTTCTCAAAATTTCAAAATTTTACCTATGATTTTGGGGGGGAAAAACCCACACTATACATAGTTCCCTAGCATTTAAAGAAAAAACATCTTTGAAATATAAATATTTCCCATTAGAATAAAATTCCCGTTTGGTTTTAGTACAGTAAAAAAATTATTGTGTAAACACAAACTTAAGATAAATTTAATTGAAGAAAATGTTCATTACAGAAATTAACATTGCTTACCATTCTTTAAACACCTTATACATTATTAATATATACTGTGTATTTCCAATCAACTCCATTCTTAGGCTCAATTTAAGAAATACAATTGTAACAGGTTTTATACAAAAAATACTTCACTAGGAAAGTAGACAAACTGCACAAAAAAGTACACGTATAATGTGCATAGCAAGATAGCTTGAAGCATCTATGTATGGCTTTCTTTAAAATAAAACTTTTGGGGGAATGGGCCCATTTGGGACCTACTGTTACAGTTGACATATGTAAACTGTTTCACATCTTTTAGGCACTTGCTAACAATAGTGTTCAATCCCTGAAAAATGAATTTACCCAAAAAAAAAAAATTCTACATCTAAAATAAAAACCAAGAAAATAACATGGGTAAAGTCTTACATATTCCTTTTAAATTAAACAACCAGTTTTATTAGTGCATGCACAGAACTAAATGGAAAGAAAATAAACTTTTTATGTCAAAAATCTTCTGTGCAAAATTTACATAACAAACTGAAAAGTACAAAAATATGTACAGGTTTAAATTCTTTCTTATATACAGAAAAGAAGCCCTGAAGTTTTCAATCAATGAAAATGTTTTAACACTTGTAGTAACAATATAACAAAAATTATACAGTAATTTGTAATACAAGAACTCCATTATCCAATAATCCAACAAAATTTGATCCAAACTTACATGGTGAAGTTTCAATCGATGACTCTGTTGTCGTCATGAAAATATCCATTTTAAAACTCTACCTGCTGGGTATACCCCCTAGGAATCGGTCCTGAAGTTTTATGCCCTGCCACTGAGTCCACTACTAATGCTTCTTCATTTCAACTGCCAACAATCAGTAAAATAATCTGCTTTGGGTTGTCAGTGAGACTAAAAAGGTGCTAACAAAAATGGTTTGTCCCAATGTGTACATGTTCAGACACCTAATAGTAATTAAACAGCAAAAATCTGATTTGCTTTGCTAATCTTGCTTCAAAATATTTTTCCTGTAGAGTGATTCTTAATTTTCAAGAAAAGCCATTCCCATGGAAGTGCTTCTATGTTCCACTTTTCAAATGGATGGAAACCAAGATAAATATTGGCCACTTGATTTATGGGGTACAAACAATTTAATAAGCATAGTTCTGTGCAAGAGAATCACTGGAGATTATCATCAAATTCAGAAAAATGTTCAAGTTCTTTAATCAGACTTTAAACTGGACTAAGAGAGTTTAATTCTTCTTTTGAGGCTGCCCATCTACTGCAAGGCTTGACATAGCCATTTAGAAAAAGAAAATCACCTTGGGAAGGTATTCCAATTCCTGATATGGGACACAGCATAAGAGAAAAAAGATTTACTTGTGAAAAACTCTATTTCAAGCATCATGAGGTGCAACTGTAGTTAGTTAAATGTACTCTCAGAGGAGCCTAACACCCTTCAAAAGAACTATATTTAGCAGATATAAAGTTAAGTTCTTTACTCAAGCTCTTAGTGTATCTTCACAAATGAGGAGAAACTCCTTCAGCTCCATGGTGAAAGAGCTCTCCATCTTCAGAGGAGCTACACTTATCAGATTCATAAGGCTGGTGGAAGAAGAGAGGGAATGGAGCTGTCAGCCGTTACCCTCTACTAAGAGTCACTATATAACTAAATTGGGAAAACTTTTATCAAAATTTTCTTTAGCCCTAACTTCCCAAGAACACATTTAAAAAAATTAAATCAAGATACATCTGTGCTGCAATTAGTTTCTTGCAAAACTTATGTGTGCAGTGATAGCATTTTCAAGTATCACACATAAAACTTTTTTTGTCTCCCATGGAAATATAGCCAACTTTCAGATGCTCAATTTTAGGTACTATACTGAAGTAGAAAATGTCTGCCTTAAGGTAATCCAACCCATGTTTTCTTCTAAGATAGTTTTACTTTCCTTTTCCTTGGTAACTACAGTAAATTATTCTAACGTATTCCAATCACGAGTGGCCTCCATTAAATGTCTCTGCCCATGACCAGCCCAAGCATCCTGATTGTCAAATACTCTACCACAAAACCAACAGTTAAATTTAGCTTTCAGAACATTTTCAGAGGTAGTTTTCACAATCTGATAATTGTTTTTGCTTGTCTTTTTGAGTGTTAATTTTAGCACAAATCTTTCTTTCACAGAACTAACAGGTTTCAATGTTTTATGTCTTTTGGAAAAATCACCATAAATTGTTTTTGGGGCATTATCACAAACTGGCTTCAGTAAAGCACTGATAGTTCTTTTTGACAATGAAACCTTAAGTACACGTCCATTAAATTTAGCAATAGTTTTCATTACACTTACTACTTCTGGTGCATCTGCATCAGGATGATTCAAAACTACAACTGGTTGGTTTCTCCTAGGACATTTCACAAGCTGTTTGGAACTAAAGGGGAAAAGCCGCAAAGTTCTGACTGAATCTTTTGAAAGCCTTGGTCTGCTAAAATCGAACGATTCACGGGCATCTTCAGGTTTAGACTTTTCTTTACACTTTCTATGTAATGTTGCTTTTTTTCTTGGAGGTTCTTCGTAACTATCCCTACACTTTCGTTTACAGTTTCTGTTTCTAGATACAAAGGCAGTTTCAGAATCTTTACTTCTTACATGAGTTTTAATTCTTGAAAATTTTTTTTTCGAAGTCTTTTTTCTATTGAAGTTTCTCTCGATTGTACAATTTGTTTTACACCTTAATACCCTGGTGTCTGAACGGTCAGTGAAACACATTTGTTCCTCAGAAGATTCTGGGCATGTTGCAGTAGAAGTTATCACAATTTCATTTGCTGGCATCATATCATCTAGTAAGAAGGGTAAGGCATCTCTAGAAGATTCTGGCTCTCTCTGCTCTCCTCCTGAAGTCTGATTAGATGGTACCTTGTCTTTCTGCAATGAGGATGCAGAGGTGCTTACAGACAGATTGTTAGCAGCAGTCATATTTAAAACAGGGTTAAAAATTTTCAGCAATATTTTTTGTGGTGTTCCTTCAGGTTTCTTTGGCTGTATGTTTTGATAATATGTACTATTTTGGACTAATTTAGGCTTAAGCAGCTCAGTCTTATTTGGCATCACACACTTTAAAAAAACAGCTTGTTTGCCATCAGGCAAGAGGGTATAAAGAGGTGGTTTTGGAAAAATCTCATTCTGCTGTTTTACTGAGTCCAAGTTATTCAATTTGGTGCCCTGATGCTCAGATACTGTATTAGGAGTAGGAACAGCTTTCACTGAAGAATTTGCTGATGTTTTGATAATGTAAGGGCCTTTTAATGGCAAAGTATTTTCTGAGCTACTTTTCATGCTCAAACAACTGCCAATGCTGGAACAAAGTGCAGGTGTCAGACAATTACTGTTTGGTTCTACCTTTAAAAAAGGTGTTCTGCAGGGCTCCTTAGCTGTAGTTCCACAAGCTTGAGAACTCTCAATTTTGACAGTGGAAATACCTTCAAGTTTCCCATTATTAAATGTTAAAATCATCCCAGGTTTCTTATTTAAAAGAAGAGAAGCAGGTACACCTTGTGTATTAACCAATGGAAGTGGTCTTCCTGAAACAACATGTAATCCAGGCTTGTTAGCAATGTGCAATGGTACAAAAAAGCCTTTTGGAGTCTGAACAAATATAGCCTTTTTTGGTTCTGAATTCAGAAGTGGACTCTGCCTATATAAAGAACCTAAATTTTGTGTAGTGGCTCGTAGTTTATCTTTTACGAGCTGCTGTGTTATTATTGCATCTGACTGAGTCTTAAGTAATGTGCCAATACCTGAAATTCTAGGTGTCTTTTCTGAATCTCTCACATCTTGTGATATTGACACATTTTGTTTTTCTTTTCCACTAAATTTTAAATTCAGATCATTTGTAGGCACATTAATCCCTATACCACCAGATGGGATTGGGAAGATGCCTTGTACTTTGAAGTCTTTTGAAGAATCAACTGTTTTGCCTTCTCCCTCAAGTTTCTGAAATGACTGGTCACAATGAAGTGGCAGGCCTTTATCAGGAGTGTTACTATTACTAGAGTCTTGTTTTACCTCAGATTTTGTTTTTAATCCATCCTGAAGTAACTGGTTTACTTCAGGTGGCAAAAATTCTGATGCCTGTTTACTCTGGAGAGAGAAAACAGATGTGATTCTAGGCATCATAGGTGACTCAACATTAGAAATGTCATCCCACTTAGATTTCTCAGTCATGCTCTCTAAATTCTGATTTTCATTAGTGTATAAGTTCTGTCCATCAATGTTTTCTCCTTTTTCTAAAACACACTGTTCTTCAATTTCAGTTTGCATTTTTAAAGTTCCATCTTTAGTATTTAAAAGGCTAATAGATGCTAACATGCTATCTGGATTTGAGCTCTCCTTCCTCACCAGTGATAAAACTGATTCACTTATTGGTTGTTGAACAACTGTCTTGCTTGATGAAGGTTCTTTTTGAGGGTTTTCACACATTCCTGTTCCTGAAAACCTACGACGTTTATTAGAATTATTTACTTTTGAGTAATTATGAAAGGGCAATGATCCTTGGTTGGAAGATTCAACAGGTAACTCAGAGTTGACATAATTAATGCAATAGTTATGCATATCTCCACTGTTGTATGCATTTTGTTTGGTAGTAGAGTTGACTTTATCTGGACTTCTAATGGCAGCACCTGATATCTCAGGGTGACTCTGAGTAATATAACTTCCCCATAGGTCAATATTATCTTTTGTTTCAACTTTTGTGGTCAAATTCACTGATGCTGAAACCAATTCTGATGCTGACAAAGAAGACACATTTTTATCATCATCCATTGTTTGAAGCGTATTACTCGTTTGAGATAGCAAAGCCATTTCTTTTTCTGACGTTACTTTCCCTGAAAATATAGGAGATGAACATGAAAATGGAGTATTTGCTTTCATGTAAACTGTGTCACTTAATTCAGCTGTTACTCCTGCTAAAAATCCAGTAGTGTCCAAAGTCTGGGGCTGCAAATTGGCAGTACTGTCCTTTGTAGCATCTGACTGTGAGCCTGGTAAATATAAATTCTGTTTATTGGTAGGTAACAATTTTATTACAATATGTTGTTTTCCATCCACCATCTTAAATCCCATAAAATCAGCACTGTAGTTAGCAGGAATTGTTATTCTATTATTTTTCACCATTAACACTGTAGGTCCTTGTACAGCAGTCTTCAAGAAACCTAGAGTAGAATTTGATCCCTCTTCAGCTCTATTACATTGCCCAGTGGACAGAAGAGTTGGCTTTTCTGACTCTGACTCAGCAGGTTTATCATTATTCTCACAGTGTGGTCTTTCATCCTTTTCTTCATTTAAATGCTCTTGAACAAGATGGCTCTGGTCTTCAGATTTAGCCTGTGTTTTGTTCACTTTTTTAAGCACTTGAGTGTTTTTTTCTATACTCCTGTCACTTCCATTGTTGATCTTCTTGCGTTTCCAGAACGTCTTCCTTGATGCATCTATTCTGTATCTTTTCAGTATCAGCTTAAGTCCTGCTGAAGTCTTTGCCATCCTCTTTTCATATTTGTCTTTTTCCAGTTTTTCTTTCGCATATAAGTGTTCTTTGTGCAAAGTTATAACATGTCTTACTAGGTGCTCTCTCCTAGTGGCACCATAGCTACAATATTGACAAGTGAAGGGAAATGTACCAGAATGAACATGAAGGTGCTTCTGAAGCTCTCCTTTGGTAAAACATACATGATGGCACTTACCACATTTATAATGGATTTCATTATGTCTATGAATGTGCTGAACAAATGTGCCAACATCCTGGGTGGAGAATTTGCACTTTTCACATTGAAAACTACCATTTACACAATGTGTGGATGCAAAATGTTTTGTCAAGTCTAATAAAGTATATACACTCTCATTGTTACAAATGTCACATTTTACTAAAGTGCTTCTATGTGTCCGTCTGTGTTGTTTAAATATCTGGAAGTCATTTGCTGAAAAACTGCACATTTCACAAGGATATGAAGGTAATTCACCATGGTGCCACATCTGAAAGTGTTTCTGCAAATCATTTGGACTGTATCGAGTGCTATCTCGGCATTTTAAACAGTTGAAATTGAGTATTTTTGCAGACATTTTTAAACCCTCTTCTTCAACTCGCTCAGACTTATGGAGCAACATACACTCCTCTACACAGCTTACAGTCTTTACACTGATAGATTTTCTTGCAGTCTGTGGTTGACGCTGAAATAATTTTCTGTATTTGTCAACTTCATGGTTCAAAAAGACTTCATTTGGAATATTTATCTTCGGCAAATCAATTTTCACATTTTTTAGTTCATAGTGAAAACTACTTTCTGAAATTTTTGCTCTAGGTACTGATCTGATAGTATCTACTATCTCATTTTTCACATCATAATCTTTTCTTAAAGTAGTTTGTTTTTCATCAAAAAATAACAGTTTCTGTTCAGATGGCATGATTTTACAAAAAAATCCCAACTTCTTTTTTCTCTAAAAACTGAAGTTACTTGTAATTTAAACAGGAAACAATACTGTGCCGAGACATCTTCAAAATACCAGAATTTTTCCCACATTAACTCACCTAAAATCAAACAAAGAATTGAATTTTTATATCAGTAAATTTCATATTTTAAAGTTCATTTTGATCAAAATAGGAATGTTGATCAAACACAACCATAAAAGATATAAAAGACCTGTTAAGTATTTTAAGAACAGCTTACCAAGAAGTAATAGCTTGATGGAGAAATAATACTAATCTGGAAGTCAGGAAATACAAGTTTTACTTCCAGCTCTGCTCTGTGACACTGGACAAGCTTCAACTTCTCTGAACCTGTTTTGTCATCTAAAGAAAACCACAACTGGATAAGCACCCTTAAGCTCTAAGATTTTTATATTAAGTTGATATTAAAATTTTTAAGCAGGATTTACAAAATCTTAATGAGAACCACAAAAATTTAAGTTCCAATTACACATGTCTCCAATTATACACATGAACTATTAACTTCCTCACCTCCTTAGCTGACCCTCTGGCTATTACCTTGTGAGAAATTCAACAGGCTTCTCTCCAGTTTTTCTATTTCCTTAGTGCTTCAGAGATAATTTATATTTAAAATGTTAAGTTTCATTTATCTAACAACAACAATAACAGAAGATTATCTGCTCTTTCAAGTTATCATTACTAATTAAAAAAAAAGAAAAAGAAAAAGAAATGAAAAGGAATAGCACATTTTGCTGGGGTACTGTTAAAGTCTACCTACTACCTTTTTGGTTCCCAACCTTTTGGCTATTTGGCTTTTTGTCCCTAGAACTCAGGCAGAAGGCAGCAAGGAAAGCTCCTGGCATATGAGAATGCACCCATTACTATCTGCCACCATTAATTCCAACACTTACTGGTTTGTGTTACTCTAGACAAGTCTCAATCTCTGTCTTCGTTTCTTCATCTACAAAGTGAAAAAGAAAAATCAGTACTTTCCCTACCTTTCACAGGGTTATTGTAAAGATTAAATGAGAAAACATATGAACAGTATCCTGTACAGTGCTATATAAATTGTAGCTATCATTACTGTATGTGATTACCATGAAATGACACATTATGAATTAAACTGCAAAGGAATAAAAAATAGTAAAGTAATAAGATGTGATAATATATTATTGAGATTGGAATGTGAGTACTGAAGGTTCAGTAAAATATCAAAATGTGTATTAGAGGAATTACGTTTTCTTACCTTTGTGATCTTAAATATATATGTAAGAATAATAAACAAAATTAGATAAGCTAAAGAAAATAAGTATAGATCACATTGAACTTCATCTATAATGTCTAGTCAAAGGTCTCAGCTTTAAATTTCAATTAATCTAGGGACGCCCGGCTGGCTCAGCTGGTAGAGCATGTGACTCTTGATCTTGGGTTTTCAGTTCTAGCCCCATGTTGGGCAGAGGAAATTACTTAAATAAATAAAAACTTAAAAAAAAAAAAATTTCAATGAATCTAAGTAACTAGATACTTTACTGTTTCAGAAACCCTTTATTAGGGGAATACAATTAAAAGTTAAATTATGTATTAAGAGACTTTTAATCTCTCTCACACTCAGTAATTTTGGTTGGGTCTAAAAAACACATCCTTTAATAGTCTTTAAGTATATATATGCTAAACTGATAATGAATTCATTAGCAAGGTACCAGTTTACTGAATTTTTTTTTTAGTAGTGAAAAATCACAATTGCATTATTCAGTGCCACACACTGTGCTCTGACTCATATCATTTCTTCAGAGTTCATCTGCAAAGGGTGGTAGGATGCTCAGAAACTGCACAAAATATGGAATGCTTCACAAATCTGCGTGTAATCCTTTGCACAGGGGCCATGCTAATCTCTGTGTTGTTCCAATTTTAGTGTATGTGCTGCCGAAGCACGCACTGGTTTTATATACTATGTCTAATGCAGTAAAATATTAAAATTTTTACTTAAAACGTTTTACTGTATTATTTAAAGCAAAATGTAAATACTTTTTCTTCAAAAGTAAGAAAAACTAAATAAATGGCTAGAATAAAGTTCAATGACACCTGGTGGATATTCCACACCAACTAAGAAGATTCCCTACAGTGTCACATTCTGTATTATAATCACCGATGGAGATTTCACCATACCAGAATCTGAAGGTGAGGTTCAAAGAGGTGAAACTTTTAAGCACACCTATAAAGGTTCTCCATTTGCCTGAATATCATATTGCGGTCATTCTGGATTAACCATACTCAAGTCTTTCTATTATACACATAATCAAGAAACTATATCATGGGTTTTATTACAAAACGGAAATTGCTTCTTGTAGTAATATTACATGTGTTCAAAAATATATGTGTAATGCTAAAAATAGATTGATACTATTTTTAAATATCAATTCCATTTCAAAATATCTACACAATTTAAAATTTTTCTTATAAGATAACATATACCCCAGAGTCTGACGACCAGTATAAAAATAGGATTTTAAATAACTCAATCAACTAACACTAATAAATGCCTACTATGAATGTGAGGCATTTTGATGGGTGCTGTGGAAAGATTCAAAAACATGGTCCCCACCCTACTACAGCTTACAGTCTGAAGGAGAGAGGCACGACATATACATTAAAACACTGCTTATTCAGAGTTGACCATTCAGCAACCTCACCCTTCCAGCACATGAAGAATAGAAAATAATTAAGTAGGATGCATGGCAGCCAAAACAGATGTCACAAAGGTCACCCATTAAAGTGCATGTCCTTTCAACACAGGCAAAACAATGTTAATAAAAGGGACCTTACTAAGAAATCCACTTAGCTTTTACTTAAGTTTGGTAACTGCTAAATAATTAATATTGAACATCAGTATTTTTTACATTTAATGAATGGCATGTACAATACAGTATTAGGGGAGTCTGTATATTTTAGGTAGTTTGGGGTTTGTTATTCACCCTCAAATTTTAAATTTGGAGAATCTATTTTGTCTTCAACTATGTTGAACCTGTAGTATGTGGAAGCAATCAATGATGACATCTGGTAGCAAATTATACTGGGGTTGCCACTTATGGGCAAAAAACGTGTTGTGAATTTCTCAAATAACAAAAAAAGGAAAGAGGAATTTTACTCTAATTTTAATCTTCCAACCTACTAGCTAATGCTCCTTTCACTACAGTTCAATCTTTACCCCACCAACAAGGATTACTGATTTTAAATCTCCCATTTAAACTACTGCCCTTTCTCTACATATTATTACCTCATAAGACTTAACCAACATCTCCTCAAGCCTTGAAAGAATACAATTTGCATAAAATATGCCCAGCCCTTTCAAGTAACCTGGAGAACTGCCTGCATCAAGGTGGCAACTTAAGCCATCTGATTTCCTTCTTCCAACTGCCCAATGAAACACAAACCAAAAAATAAAGTCCTACAAAATAACTAGAAACTACAAAAACATTCCATACACATACTGCAAGGTATTTGGTAAGAAACAGTCCAGAGAGAGAAGAGTGAAAACAAATGCTAACCCACTGCCAAGCACCACTTTTAAAGAGGAATTTGACTAGGGGACATTCATTTAAAAAGCATTTAATAAGCATCTCTTATGCCCTAAGTAAGAAAGTAAAGGACATAAATCTGCCCACTCCCTCCCTGAACATACCCTGAGATTTCTAGAAAGTGAGGACTTGAGAGGAAGATCATGTGGTACCTTTTGGGGAGATAGAAAGCTTGAGCTGAGGTATGGGAAGGAAGAGAATGAATCCAGAGTTTTGAGCTGGGTCCAGGGGCCGAGTTGAGACTTGTTAGCACCAGCTGTTGGGAAAAAATATAAAGAGGAAATTATTTCTGAGCAAAGATAAATCTTCCTATATCCATGCCTATCTTCTGTTTAATAGTTCTGTCCTTTATCCACATAAGTAAATTATCTCTAAGTTGTCAGGAAAAAGTTACATTAACTTCCCCCCTCCTTTTAACTAAAAAACTGAAAAAAAATCTTGGTTCATTCTTTAAGAATTCATCTCAACTACCAAGGCCATCAAAAGTTAAGTAGGCAGAAACATCACTAGCTGCAGCAGCTCAACAAAGAGAAAATAACCTGAACACTCGGAGAAACCCCTCCCCATTCCCCCAACCAGCAATGAAAAATAGTAACTACACAAAAGTTACTACTACCAGAAAAAGGAGAAATGGGGGAAAAAATAAATCAAGTAGTAATTGGCAATTTCAGTAAGACCTGAGATAATATACAAAAAAAACCCCACAAAAACTAAGAACATACTGCCATGAAAGAACAAAGTAGATGGGAGAGAAATAATGATTTTGAAAACAAGAAAAAAATAACATTTGAGTTTTGGGTTTTTTTTAAAGACCTGAATTTTCAAAATCAAAGGCTCCTCAAATGCCAGGCAAGATTACTAGTGAGAACAGAATATAAGACTCAATGTTTACAACTTATCCTAGTCAAATTTTTGGGTTTAAAAAATAAAAATGAAATGCTACGGGGGTGCCTGGGTGGTTCAGTCGTTAAGCGTCGGCCTTCGGCTCAGGTCATGATCCCAGGGTCCTGGGATCGAGCCCCACGTCGGACTCCCTGCTCAGCGGGAAGCCTGCTTCTCCCTCTCCCACTCCCCCTGCTTGTGTTCCCTCTCTCGCTGTCTCAAATAAATAAATGAAATCCTTAAAAAAAAATGAAATGCTACAAAAAAAAAAAAAAAAATAGGTAGAGAGGGAGAGTTACCTAAAAAGGTATTTGATTTTTCATCAGCAATGCCAACTTTAATCAGAAATCAATATTAATCAGGCATTTTACTCACAATTCTAAATGCTAGAAGACAATGGAATGACACAGAGTTCTGAGGAAAATAGATTAATCCAAGAATTAATTCTATACACAGGAAAATTCATATGTAAAGGAGAAACACAATTTTAGGTGTACAAAGATTTAGAGACTATACTACATATGTACTCTTTCTGGAATAAAGTTTCAAGTAAATACTTTAGCAAAATCAAATTTCAATCAGAAAAAAAGAACTTAAAAAGGAAATAATGTGTTATAGAAGAAATATCTGTCAACAATAAAATCCATGAAATAGAAATAAAAGCAAATATTTTGTTAAGACAGTTAAGAAAAGCAGAAAAGACTGGAGAAGAAGAACACTTATAACACAACAAATATATTTGTAAGAGGTCCTTAAAAAAAAATTAACAATAGGAAACAGGAGACATGACAATAGCAACAAATTTCTAGATGCTGGAAAGCAGATTAATTAGTAAAGGACCCTGCAGACCCAAGAAAACTTAACCCCAGACAGACTGGGGAAAGCTAAGAACTAACCTATTTTACACTCTGAATCTTTGAAAGGCTTAGGAACTGGCAGTACCAAGTAACTATGAAGAAGGGAGGAGAAAACTAAAACAAAGAGAAATTTGGAGAAAATTGCTTGAGCTCTGGTTAGATGCTAAGATTCCCTTCCCCACTCCATACGCTAGGTTACTGCTATTTCCCCACCATAGCAGATGCCTGCAGGTTTATTCTCTGCAGAAGGTACACAGACTCTCTTAATCGGGGATACCAGACACAGCTGAGAGTGGGTACCATACCAAAAGCAAGAGGATTAAATGACCATATATGGATGAGACACAAACCCCACCCCAGTCTCCCCTATTCCCCCTTCTACACTGGCTCCTAGGCTAAAATAGTGCTACTAAAAATATGGTCTGCTAATGGTCCATGAAACATCCGTCACCAGTCCATGACAATGTATGTACAGAAACTGAGGGTTAAGCATTTAGAAACTACTATAGCAACTTTACAGAGTTAAGTTTCTATCTGTTGAAACGAACAATAAAAATGTGGACTTGTATTTTGTATGCCTTCATTTTTAAAATTTCATTTTCTAGTAATAGAGGCACTATGATATACTAATGATATAATCTTTATAAGGAACAGTTTGCTATATATATTTACTTACATTTAATATAACATAAATCACATTATAATTACATATATAATTATATATAATATAGTATATATTTTATAATACATAAAATATAAATCTATACATGACCAGGAAGAAAGTATGTAACTTCTGATTTACTTCTAGAAATGTATCCTAAAGGTAATAATCAGGTTCACTGAAACACTGCCTACAAAAAATCACAAAATCAAAAATAACAAAATGTCCACCAATAAATAAATTAAGGTATTTTCATTCAATGGAGTATTACTCAATTTTAAAAACAATACTGTAAAACTACATTTATTAATAGGAAGATATCCAAGATGTATTCAATGAAAAAAAAACCCCAGAAAATACATAGTAGACATATTAGGAGTTAATCTGTTCAAAAATTGACAGGTGTATAGAGAATAGATGGATAAGCAAACAAACACATGGGCCCATACAAACTCATAGTAAAAAGTCAAGAGTACACATATAAAAATGTTTACAGTGATTCCTGGTTATCCTTAGGTCAGTGCTTCTTAAAATGTTGTCCTTGGATCACTAGAGCCTCCACACTGGCAGACTTCCTTATCATAGCACAAGCAAAGAGCTGACATTTGGATGTAATGAAAATCACCTCTTTGCCTCTAGACCATACTGTTATGAAACTTTATCAAAAAATGGCATGAAGCCAGGAAAATTTGAAATTCTCAAGCAAAGCAAGTGAATTCTGTGGTAAACCAACTGAGTTTTTTCTGAACAAACTTAAAATAGTAAAACTGATGCCAGCACAAAGTTGAAGAATGTTGACACTAAAGGTAGAAATCAAAACAAAATAGGTATCCATTCAACATTACACTCCTCGCATCAGTACACAGGTACTCAATCATATCCATGCAGAAAAGACTGTACAACAGCCATAAAGTTACTGGCAAACATTATACTCAGAGAATAAAATTATGCTATGTTACTCATGGTATATAAATTCATGCTACTGAGAGGTAATTTTTTTGCTTATTTAATAGTTAATTTGTGAGTCATGAGGTTACCTTAAAAAGTAAGTAAAGGAAGTTGGGACTACCAAAGTTATGAATAACAGTGTTGTTATACAAATACAAAACTGTATTTTATATAGAAAACAAATGCTATTCAACTAATATGCTTCTTGATCTTAGTACACCGTTAAAAGAAAAAATTTTTAAATAAAAAATTAAAACTTTTTTAAAAAGATAAAGAAATAAGAAAAACTATAACACTGATCTAAACTTGACTACTATTTTTCTATACAGGTATCCCCTGCTTTATGAAAGTTTGCTTTTCTTTTTTTTTTTAAAGATTTTATTTATTTATTTGAGAGAGAGAGAATGAGAGACAGAGAGCATGAGAGGGAGGAGGGTCAGAGGGAGAAGCAGACTCCCCACCGAGCAGGGAGCCCGATGCGGGACTCGATCCCGGGACTCCAGGATCATGACCTGAGCCGAAGGCAGTCGCCTAACCAACTGAGCCACCCAGGCGCCCCGAAAGTTTGCTTTTCAAAAGTTCTCATTATACCACTTCACTTACAAACCTACATTAGTTCTTTTTGCTAACCAAAAGAAATCCAAAGAGGGTTTCTGTTTTTACAAAAAAAGTAAAGAACTAAATCAGTGTTCAACCTTTGTTTTGCAGCGATCTGTTACAGAGGCAGCACGGAGCCCAAGCAGTGAGAATGGTACAGCCAAGCTCCTTCCCCAGGAACTACAATTCAGTATGTCAGCATCAAGAGGCCATAGCTTCAAACTGTATCTGGGCATCTATGCTTTATCTCAATTTTTTTATGCCTCCACCAGCAAGATGTGCCCCCTAAGATATCAGAAAAGCCTAAGACTAAGGTTATTTTGGGGGTCTGAGAACACTCAAAAAATTTCCACATGAATTAGTGGTAACGGCTTCTTTGCTTTATACCATTTCAACTTACAAAAGGTTTCATAAGAATGCTCTATTTTCACATTAGTGGGGGAAACCTTTATACCATACAAAGAAACGAACAGCAAGAATAATGCTGAACTATTTTTACATTAGTTAAGCATGTTATTCTTTAATAATTTATTCATCTGACAAAATTTTATTCAGAATTTTATTTTTTGATGCTATCTTTAATAGTTTTAATACTGGCATTATGGAGAATACATAAAATGAATTGGAGTAATTTCCACCATTTCATCTCCTCTGGAATAGTTCACTAAACACGAGAATTGCCCACTTCTTAAAGTTATGTAACTGTACCAAAAATACCATACAGGCTTGATACCTCTTTGGATTTTAGCCCTTACAAACCTTTAAAAGCTCTTCTATGGTTTCTGGGCTCTTAGGGGTTTCTACTGCTTGAGTTATTTTTTGCAATTTATATTTTCCTTGAAAATAACCAATTTCCTTCACATCGTCTAAGTACACTCCTATAAATAAACCTCACTTTTAACAATCTATCCTACAGAAATAAAAGCACAACATATGTAACAGTATCACTTAAACGTCCATGAGTTGGAAATGATTAAGTAAATTATATAAACAAAAAGGTTTATGTATTAAATTGACTTAGATTTCATTCTGAACTTTTTTTTTCCAAAAGGAAGTTACAGATGAAAGTGTGTAAAACATTTTTATATTAGGGGAAGGATCCTCATTTTCACGTCAGGAGCAAAGATACCATAGGGCTATGTTTGTAGAAGCATAGACAAATCTATAGAAAGATACCTCCCGAACTACTGACAACAAGTTAATTTTCTTAGGGAATGACAGCATGGCAGAGCAAAAGACAAACGTACGCAAACAGCAGGGAGAGAATCATCAACTCTCCTAAGTACTCTGAGTGAAGCCAAGAGGACAATG